ATATAATATTCAATAATTTACCAAACCATCAATTTTTCAAATATGTTTGCTTTTATTTTTGCCCAATATAAAATTCATTTACCAAGTTCTACATTAGTTAAAAAATGTTTTGTTTATCGAAGTTTTATATATATCCAAATTTGTAACCTAAACTATTTCATCACTCTACGATTCTTTTATTTTTATACACAATAATATACTGTATGTAACAGTTTAAAACTACAACAATTATAACTATGCTGATCAAGTCTCTTAATTGTTATAAATCTTCAAATTAATATATGATATTAATTTGAAGATCATAATCAAATTTTGATTATAATCCTTACATATCTGATGATGATTATGTAATAGAAAATTATAAATCTCATTACTAAGTTATCTAGATTTGTGCAAATTTTAAATTCATGTTATGTGATGATGCATATGAAAATATGTGAAATATACATTTTTTGTTAAATTTACTTACAATATACACCACTCCACACTGGGATGTATGTAACAACAGACACTGAACAAATTTCTGGTGCATATAATACAAAAAACAAACACTGCGAAAATGTTTTCCAACTCCTCCTGAGTTCTTCAGGTGCGACAGAACAGTTACCCAATGGAATGTTATCTATAACATTCCATCAGGTAACCTGTAATCATATAATAACCAGAAGATATGCCTGACCATGTCTAACATCATCTCAAGATGTAAGATCCATAACAGGCTACAGTCAAGTAAAACCCCAAGGTACTTGACCTGGGAAGAAAACCTCACTTTTTACTACAGAGAAGAGGTTTACAGAAACTAGTTAAAATTTTCCTGTGAGTGAAGGGAACAATAACAATTTTGTCAGGACTGATGCTTAAGCTGTTATGCCTGCACAAACTCTGCACACAATTCCAGGTTTCTTCGAAGGAGGTCTGACAGAGTATTGGAGAATTTTCCCCATACAAAGCAGAACCATGATATGCATAATTCTGAGAATAAAACCTATATTTATTAAGGTCTGTCAGGAGACTGTCTGCAACAAGACACTACAACAAGAATAAAAGAATGTCACTTTGAGGATAGCTTTACACTACAGATTCTCTCAGGAAAGTTCCAAAAAGGGAAGTCTCCATGCGACAGTGGGGTAGCATAAAGTAATAATCCAGCAAACTAGTTGAACTGTGCCATGCTAAAGGGCAGCATATTTGGTAGTCTTGAAAGAAGCCTTATCAAAAGCAACCTCAATGTCAAGAAATGCAGCTAATACAATCTCCTTGACATCTAAAGTTCATTCACTTTGGAAGATCAAATTGTATAAAGTAGCCTCACAATTTGCCAGATTCATAAACAAACTGAAGAGAATGAAGAAGAAACCTTATTATACTAGTGTCCCTCAGATGCCTATCAATACATTTCTCCAATGTCTTTAACATAAAAGATATTAGGCTAATAGGTCTAAAAGCCTTGGCTTCAGAAAAAGTTTTAAGTAGTTTTAAAAGTTTAAGTCACAGGCAGATGACACATAGTGTAATGTCAGACAAACACAGTAAATGTGAGAATGGAGCTAAAATGTCAGCTCCATATTGCAGGTTAGCCAGAATGATGCCATCAGGCCCAGTTAACTTAAATGGATCAAACGATTTAATTGTTGTTGAATCTTAAAAGTAAAAACCATCAGTCTAGCCAATCTCTGGGATTTCCTATTAGTTCTGGGTGAGGGGCTTAGAAAATGCCAAGGGCTTACTTGAATTATCAATTTGGAGCCTGAGAAATGTGCCTCAAGTAAACAGAATAGTTTCCCAAGCAGAAAGACTTATCATCAGAAAGTATCAAGGAACCTAGTTCAGGGCAGTATTCCTTAGGTAAAATCTTTGTTAGTCTGGAATTGCTAGAAACGTTAAAAATGTTCAAGCCAAAGTTTTCTTCATGAAGATTAGTTTGCCTTCTGAGAGCTTTATAATAAAACTCCCAGTATACTTAGTTCAGTTAAATAATTTTTAAGTTGAAGACCTCAGAGAGCTCAATGTCATGTTCCACCAAGGAACTACACGATGGGTGAACTTTCCTTGAGTAGGACTACTAATAATGTAGGACTAAAGAATGTGCTGTTGCACAAAGATCAACAGTTAACTCAATATTGAAAATAGAACCAAATCAAGAGAAGCAACCCAATTTTCCAGATTGGATTGCTTCTCTTGCTAATTAAAAAGTGCCCAATCAGTCTTCTTTGGGTTGCAAGATGGTCACCCTTTTTAAACTAGAAACAAAACTAAGGCTGAATATGATGTGACTGTGATCAGACAGGGAAGTTTATCAGACACATCAATTCACTACTCTGCTAACTATCTAAATCATAAGAAGGTAGAGGTCCAGAATTTCCATACATTTGGAAGTGACATAAGTGGGTTTTTATTTAAGATTACCAGATCTATATTCACCTAAAAGTCTACGAGATCATCTCTTCTGGGATTGTTATCCTTACATCCAAATACTGTTGTGTGCATTTACATCAAAACCAATTAGGAGAGGAAGAAGAGGAGTGTGATAAGTGATAGAAAAATCTACCACAGATCTGATCTCACTATAAAGAGAGGTTCAATAACATCATAAGGAAGATATGCAGAGGAGACTAAAATCTCCTCCTTAACACCATTAACATCAACTATTACACATGCAACTCTTGTCCAGAGATCTGAGTTGTGGAATATTTGAATCTGTTTACTAACAAAATTACAAGTTTATAGGATCCTTAACAGGTGATTGGTGATAAAGGATACTATCTAAGTTAGACAAGACCCGACCCCTGAAAACATAACTCCTGTATCATGGTTATGTCAATGTCATCCTTTACTATACAGTGACTCAGCACTGCAAGAGCCACTTTGTAGCTTTGGAGATTGATTTGGATAAATCTTAATGTGATGATTTAGTCTTAGTGGAAACTCCACATGTTATGATGAAGCTCACTGTGAGTCAGTGGCACTGGGCCAGTCAGTTAGGCCTTGCTAGCTGACAATGAGTCAGCAGCAGCAAGCTTGCTACTACAGAAAGCCCAGAAGCTGCCAATTTAGCTTACAGCAGTGGGCAATGACCTCAAATTAGGCCCCAAAACTAGTACCTATTGGTCTACAGCTAGGCTCTGGAACCAACAATTGCAAGCCATCACCAATAGGCCTTCTGTTTGGCCCTAAAGCTGCTGACTACCAAGGATCTTAAAAGTCACCTGGCAATCCCAGAAAACACTTGGCTAGAGGGGCCAAAAACCTTATCTAGCATCCTTTTGTGCTCAGTTGTCAGACCCAGGTTCTGAGTCCAAGTCTCTTATGAATTCAAGGAGGATATTCATGTTTTTGGCCTGTGATCACTAATAAAAATGTTTGCAGATTTGGGCAGACAACCCTGATGAGTCAACAGTGAGTCAAGGACTTATCTGTGAGCGAAGGTTTCAATACACTCCCTAAGCCAAGTCACTTTTTTCAATGAGAAGCAAGCCAATCTCAATGACCTCTAAAGAAAGTTGCAAGAAACAAACCTATGAGGATTGGCCAGGCTCACAGATTTGTTAATCTTCTTCAGGAGAAAGTCCTGAATATGATGTGATAAATCAGAAGAGAAAGATATTCAGGTTGTCATCAGGAATGATGGCCAGGTGGCCATCATATTGTTTTGCAACCGGTTTAGTTTTTTTTCAGCTATGTTCTCAGTTCTATTAGAAACTTTTGGGATGCTAGGGGTTTAATGCAAAGGGGTGAGGCATTCTCAGTGCTGAAGCAGAATATTTAGAACTGCACACAGCCATAGGATTGCAGTTTTCAGAAGTGGTAAGGGTATCCAAAGATTCTACACTTAACAATTTACACACCTGAACCATTTACGGTGTGATCACGCAAAAATCGGTAAACAAACATTTTCGAACCCCTTCTGGATTCTGCTTCAGGTTCCAATCAGTTTCTATAAAGATGTTTGATATCCCGTTATAAGTAGAAATTCCTTCAAACATGTCGTTTAGGGGTTCGAAAACGTTTGTTTACCTATTTTTGCGTGATCACACCGTAAATGGTTCAGGTGTGTAAATTGTTTAGTAGTTCCGGTGTGATAAATAGTGAATTTATTTGATTCTACACTTTCCATTTTCTGCTGCTTTCATCTCTGCTTCACAGACCATGAACTGCACTCCAAAAAACTTTAAAGAACAAAGTATATCTCTGGCTGAGAAGATGGAACCCATTCTCAATCTGGGTCCCACCGCCATCAGGAGCAGAAGTAGCAGGGGCTTATGAAGAAGCCATGTCTGTCACCTTTAAGGAAGATGCCAGATCAAGAGAGATCCTGCAGATAGAGCTGGCAAGGGCAGATTCTTCAGTATGCTCTACTCACTTCAGAAGGACATTCCTGAGGGAGTGGGAGATGAAGGATCAATTAGTTCCTTTGAACCTGTTGGAGAACTTCCAACATACCATTTCACATACATTTTTAGAAAAAAAATCTGTGTGTGGGATATAACATGGGGGAAATATATGGTCAACATCTGAGAGCTTCCAATGCAGATGCAAATCTGATTACAATGGGATGTAACCTGGTGCCCAAGGTGATTGTTCATGGCACTCATTATATTACCTGGGTATCTTCCAGCCTTTGTATGATACCCTTTTTTGGCATTGGCAAACATCCAGCAATGTCAAGATTAGAGGCATTGTGCTCTTAGTTTGTGGGAGGTACTGGACTCTTTGGACCTGGTCACAGCACTCAGATGGGAAAACCCATCAAGACACCACAGCACAGATCACTGCCTCCTGCCATAACAAGGTGCCCCTTGCCATAACAAGCCCCCTGCCATAACAAGGTGGAGATATGACAGGGGATTCAAATATAGTAGTAAAGTTAATTTACATTTATATAACTGTTTTAGTTTGGTAGGATTTGTCAAATGGAATATTAATTATAAATGTAGAAAATTTATAAAATATATTTAATGTAATGATAGTGCATAGTATTGATAAAAATTTAATTATATTAGGTAACAGAATCATCAGAAAATTGGAAAGATGAAGAAGTTTTAGAATGTATAGAACCAGAATTTCCTCATGCTGAATTGGCGAGATTAGATGAAATGATTAATAGACCAAGATGGGTAGTACCAGTTTTACCAAAAGGAGAACTTGAAATTCTTCTCGATTCTGCAATTATTCTAAGTAAACAAGGTAAAGTAAAAACTGGATTTCTCTATTCATTTATTCATTGTAAATAATAAAATTACATTTGCTTATAGCATATTATCAAGTAATGCTAATATCTATTCATTCTCAGCTTAAAATACATTGTTCAATATATTTGTAATTTGAAGTGCCAGAATTGAATAAATTTTCTTTATAAAAGAAAATGAAATATCTCATGCATTGGAGGAGTAAATCCAGTGCTTTTTTCAGAAGGTGTAAACAAACTACTCATCAGATGGAGAACAGTCATAGAAAACTGTCGTAGTAAACCAAGGGTAGATGTAGGAGATTAATAAATTAGGTTTGAAGAATAAACCAACCACTCACCTGAAAATTGGACATTATTTTCTGCTCTACCTGATAATATGAAATAATAAATTATCTTGAATGGTATATGCAGATCTTATAATTTCAATAATTTAATGAAATAATTATATTTACATCTATAATTAATCAAAAATTCTTTTTCAAAATCACTATGGCTAACTCGTAGCTGAAATAAATAGAGTAAATATTCCATTGTCTCTCACACTCTTAATTGTCTCACACTCTTAATTGTCTCTTAATTGTCACACTCTTAATTGTCTTAATTGTCTCACACTCCATTGTCTCTCACACTCTTAATTGTCTTTCACACTCTTAATTGTGCATAAAAAGTTTAACAAATTAATCTGGGAGTCATTGAAGGATCCATCTATTTCTTGTTGAGTAGTAGTAGTCCTATAATGATATTGAATCAATGATTTCACAGTAGATGATTGAACCTGTGATAACTTTATATATTTACTTCAATCTGAATTAAATGAATTTTCTATAATATTGATTAGTTTTCAACAAACTTAAAATACAGATTCTGATAGAGGATGCAAGAACATTATATAATAATTTGGATTAATTACCATAAATGTTGCTTTTTCAGTTGACTTACAGAAATTCTATCAATGCTTAATGTTAATTAATTAATTAAATTAATTAATTAATTTAATTCCTTTAGTTCTTCACCCGAGTTAACTCGGGCATGTTACATAGCCTTACATAAAACTCGGTCCTTTCGGCCCCCCTAAAAAAATTTTGTTTTTTGAATTTTTGGAATGTTTTTTAAGTCTCCAAATTTTTTCAAAAATTTTTACCTGTGCAAAAAATTTCACCACTTTTCACTCCCACACATAACTAAAGGACTGTATTGTGGTAGTTCAGTTGTTAGTTTAAGTTAATACATTAAGTTTTTAGTGTTAAGTTAGATTTATTTTGATGTTAAGCACTTTTATTATCAATTCTCTGTTAACGTATAATGTTTTTCTGTCGTATTACTTTAATACAAAATGGTATTTTTAATTTAAATATTAATTAGGATAATTTTACACTCGCTTTTACTTAGTTTAAATTTTAAAATTTTATGTAAAATTTATGAAATTCAATTATGTAAAACTAGTCTCTTCTAATTGTATTTGTAACCTTATAACCCTGGTAATGCAAAAGCAGGACCAGGATGTGCATGTTATTTTAATGTACGAATAAATACTAAATAAAAAAATGAAATGAAAAAAAAAGACCTACACTCCTATTGCTAAGATAGGACTGAAGAAGTTTGTAAAGATTTTGAGGGCAGTGATGAGCATATAATGTGTGCAGGATAAAATATCACCAGGCATGATTGAAGGCACCTCTAAAGTCAATAGTGATAATTGTGGTATGCTGATTGTTTTGTTTAGCATGGTGGATGTAGTTAATGACCCAATGGATGGAATCTACTGTACCTTTGTTTTTAGAGAAGCCAAACTGATTCTGATGAAGGGCTCTATGCTTGCATAGATGCAGTAATCCTATTAATCANTTTACCAAGTTTTATTGTTTTTTTTATATATATTTCATTAGCCCTTTATATTTTATTTCAGTAAGCCTTTATTGCATCATTATATTTGTCAAAACTGTCTTCAACTGATCACTGAGTTTGTATTATTCCATGTCCACTTTCTCAAGAAACTACAGCCTGCCAGTGTGGTTCTATGTTTGCAGAGTCTTTTCGTGATGATCATTTTCCTGATATTTTAATAAGTGTTTCTAACTCTGTTTCCATATGGTTACTACAGAGTTTTCTATCATTGAGCTACCGTCAACTGCAATGTCAGAAAACTCAAGCCTAGGTGTTAATTAATTTGATGATATTTTTTAAGATAAAATTTTGTTCTTAACTTCTAAATGTTTGCATTTAATTAAAAGGTTTTTATTTGAGTATTTTTGTATATTTCAGCTATGCTTGAGATGTGGTTTAATTTCAATTATTCAAGAATTGTAGATTGTTCTGAAGATGTGAAAACTGAGGCGTGGCTATAAAGTATGTGCAGAGCTTTAAATATTAATAGTTTTGGAACTATACATGGTAGAATTAATCTGTAAAAACATTTATAAACCTGGTGTATCTAGTTTTTTTCTTATTATTTCAAAAATTGATTATTATTATTGCCCATTATTAAAATTTTTTTTTAACTTTAAAATGGCTGTTTTGTTTTCATAATTGTTATTGACCCACAAACCCTTCTTCAGACAGAAGTGATGGATTTCAGCATTAAAGAATGCAGTGCACTTTTTAAAGAAGCCATTGGTCAATAACAATTTTGAAAAGAAAACTCATTTTGAAGTTAAAAAAAATTAATAATGTGCAAGAATAATAATAATAATAAATTTTTTGAAATAACAAGAAAAAATCTAGACACATCAGGCTTATGTTTTTTACAGATTAATTTTACCATGTATAGTTCCAAATCTGTTAATATTTAAAAGTGCACACGATACCCTATATTTTTTGCTCAGTTTGTTCAAAAACTATTGATAATGGAATTGTAGAGATTATGAATTATAATGAAAAAAAATGAAATTTTCTTCAAAAAATTTTTTGATGCTAATCTGGCATAGTTTTCTATTACTTTCTATAAAATTATTCAGACTTATGTTTATAAATTTCTTTATTTTACTAACACCAATCATTTCCAAGTATTTCAGTATTCATTTATTTAGGAAACATTTTTATAATCAATCTAAAGTCCAGTTTTTATTTATTAGAAGGTGACCTTTTATGTGTTTATATAGAGGCTGAGTCAAAAGTTTCTTGCACTCTTTTCATTCTGTAAGTACTGAAGATATGTTAATTTTGTTAATGTAGTTACTTAGGAAATCATATACGGAGAACCAGATGGGATCTGTTTGTTGACCTTAAATTATTTTTAAGGTCAACAAAGGTCATTTGTGTAACTTTGTAATGAGCAGAGGTAATGTGAAAGATTCAATGATAAAGTTAAAGAGCATCATTTAATTAGTCTAAAACCATTTTCTAGATTCAAATAGATATATTTAGGACTGCATGAGTTGAAACTTTAAATTTATGAGTAGAAATGATTTTATTTTACCTTATGACCTTGAACATAATTTTCAAGGTTGTCAAAAAGGTCACCTAATTCTCTACACATGACCTTCTAAATAACATTGAAAAAAGTGCAAGGGACTTTAGACTTGCCCTGTATATAAAGTTATATACAGTATACAGTAGAGCATCAATTATCCGACTCAATTGGGGACTGGGATTGGTCAGATAACTGAAAAAATGGATAATCAAAAAATATGAAAAAATATAAAAAAATTATTAGTATAGTGTATTAGTATATACTATACTAATACACTACCATGTAATTACCATGTAAATACCATGTAATTAGTATATCACTATTAACCTACTTCGCGTTGAATTTTCATTGATGTTAAGCCTAACAAAATTTTTTTTAAAAATAATAATCATCTCTATTGCATCGTTAAAAATTAGAAAATTAAGCCTCATATAAATACTGGCTCCCTTTCATGATCAAGCCAGTGTTGCCAGCTAAAACATGTAAAAATAATATTAAAGTAGCCAAGACATAGCCAAATATTGTAGTGCCACATCACTAGTGGACATTTGAATATGCCGACTAGAACGCAGTCGGTTAACCTATGTGACAGTTGATCGGGGGTCGGATAATTGATGCAATGGTTGATCGGGGGTCGGATAATTGATGCTCTATTGTAGTTTCCTTTTCTGTTCAGTTGAAATAAGTTATTTTCTCTTGTGTATTTTTGTGTGGCATCTGCTGTTATTACTATCACAAGTTTGAAGTTGTTGGTAAATAGCTTATTGGCTGGCAGTTGCTTCATACTGTCCTTTTTTGAGTCTTTAGTGCAGAAGTATGTCTTGCCAGTTATCATCAATTTATTGATTTTCTTTCTTATAGTGTGGCATTTACTTATTGAGCTAAACTTTTATTTAGACCAGAGTATGTTTGAACAAGAAGCCATATAGTTCATCTTTCTAGTATTGTCTAATATTTTAGATTTTCTTGATTCTAAACTAATTTTGCCCTTGTTAAATCTTTCTTATAGCTTCTATTTAATTTTACTTCCTTGGTTCTTTGTCAATTGTTTTCAGTCTTTTAGATTATTTTACAGATTGTTCCAGTCTTGAGTTTTTTTTGATGATATAAAGTAAGTAGTTGTTTAGTTTTTCAATTAAAGCTTTAATAAAAATGTTGTTGATCCATCAAGAAAAATAAATTTTGTTTAGTATTGTAGATCATCCATATTTACTTTTCTGTATGTGTATGTGTGTATATATATAAATATATATATATAATTAGATAATATAATTTCTTTAATTGATTATTTGGGTTTTTTAATTTTAAACAATGAACTTGTTGGTTATTTATAGTATAGAGTAAACTTATGATCTCATAAGAAATAACTGTGTGAATGACAGAAAAATTCAGATACAGTAGATCTCAGATTACATGAGCTCTGATTAACAAGGTTCTACATTATCTGAGGTGAACCTATAAGTGAATACACTACAGTAATATCTTGGTTTTCATTGACTTCGGTTATTGTCGGTTTTGGTTTTCATTGATTTTTTTTCCATGAAAAACTTCTCAGATTTCGTTGGAATGCCCACATAACCTCACTGCTAGTTTTGCAAAAACAAAGGGTGACCCACGTTTTCCATTGGCAAAAGGCATTTTTCTACTCAATGTGGCATTGTTTCTCGTTGTGTGAGCATTACCCCATGCATCTAGCCAAACAATTTCATTGCTGCTTTCCTTCCCTTCTAGCTCCAACATGGGACTAAAGAAAGTTTCCAGAGATAGCAGCTCTTGGAAGAAGAAAGCCAAGAACATGATTGAGTTGAAGGAAATCATTGGAAAATACAAGAGTGGCATTAAAATTGCTGAAATCAGCCTCATGCAAGTATGGGAAGTCGTCATTCACTAAGTTTCATTATGGCAAAAAAAGGAAGCAATAAAGGTGGCTAATGTAGCAAAAGGCATGAATGTGCTAATGAAACAGAGATCGCAAACAATTGAAGATGTCAAACAGTTATTATTAATTTGGATCAATCAAAAACAGTTAGATGGCGATTCTGTTTTGGAGGCCATTGTATTAGTCTTTTATATTCATTTTATATTAATTTCTTATTGTTTTTAATATTAAACACTATTTTTATCTTTATAAAATGTGTTTTTGAGTGTCTAGAACAAATTAATTGTATTTACATTGATTCATATGGAAATAATTGCCTCAATTTTCGTCAGTTTTGGATTTTGCCAATTGTTTTCGGATGGATTATCGATGAAAGCCAAGGTATCACTGTATTGCATTTTTCTTATAATTCATAAAAATGTTGCCATGAATGCACTAAGTGTGTAAATACTATTATTTTTAACCTTGACTGTACCAAGTGAGTGGCTGATGCTGAGTTAACTTTTTCCCTATGAGCATTAAGAAGGCATTTTTTTTTTCCATGCACGTCATGATTTTGGCTAGACTCACAGTGTGGCCAGTTGGGTTGTGAAGAAAGGAGCAGATGTATCCAAAACAGACTGCCCATGAAAAAGGATGCTAAGGTGATTGCAAAACATTGTGGAAAAGAAAGATGAAATTGCTATAAAACAAAAAACTGCAATGGACTTTATTTAAAAAGTTTAAAATAATAGCATGTATTACAAAATAATTTTTGTTACTTTATATCATTTAACTTCAATGTGAGACAAGTCATTCATATTGAAATATAACTGCAATAATACATATTTTTAATTCTTAAAACTATTGAATGTATTAGCTGTAAAATAAATGAAGCAAGAAATTTTGTTATATATGATAAAATTCACCAAGGCATAAAAAGAGGCTTAAAAGTGATATCATATAAATCTTCTATATTTGTAATTTTTAATCTGAAATTGCTATGGCCATCCATTTTATTTGATTTTCAATTATCTAAGATAGCATTGCTCCACATTGGCTTGGATAATCAGGATTCTTTCTTATTTATAATTGACAAACACTGAACAAGAAGTTCCCCACATTTATCTAATTTATTTCCCCCCAATTCCCCTGCAGGGGGGAGATAAATTAGATAAACATGGGGAACTTCTTGAAGAGTTCTTCATGCAAAATAATTTCTTGATCGTGAATAACTCTTTCTCCCCTTCAACTTTCACATCTTCTAGGGAAGAAAGTTGGATAGATATTACTGCTTGCAGCAGTAACATATTTTCTAACATTAAAAATTGGAGAATTTTAAAAGAGGACAGCCTCAGTGAACATGCGATGATAAGTATGGTGATCTTGCCTGACCATTATGGAATGCTTCCTGCTTATTCATGCAAGTTTAAATTCTGTTTAGCCAAAGCTGACTGGATTGGAATGAAACAGTATCTAGATAGCAAATTAATTAATGATTTATCTGAAAACATTGACCAGACTCGTTTAATGATTAACAAGAATATTGATATTATAAATAGAGCATGTAACATGTATATACCTAGGAAAGCATTCCATACTAGAACCTTACCTTGGTGGGATTCCACTCTTACTAACTTGCACAATACCACCAGACAGCTGTGACGGATCTTCCAAAGATGCAGAGATGATTCTGAAAGGAATCAACATAAAATGGCCTATCTCCGCTGTCAACACTTGTACAAACAAGAGATTAAAAATGCTAAATTGAATAGTTGGAAAGATTTTTATAATAAACATGCAAACAATCCTTGGGGGTTTTTGACTAAAATGTGTATAAATAAATTCTGTAAAATGGCAATTTTAACATCTAACAACATAAATGCTAATGTACCCCCTAATCTCATCCAGACAATGGTTTCACAACTCAATCTTTTTTGCCCAAATGATAACCAAGACAAGGACATGGCAACAGCTGCGTAATGATATTATTATTATTATTATTAAAAGAAGAGGGGAGTCCTCCAGGTATCACTCAAAGGTATAACCTGGAGGTTGGAAAAGTTCGGAAGGAAGAGGGAGAGTGATGAAGGGTAGGGGATGAGGATGGGGTAGAATGAAGAAGAGGGCTCATGACGCCTGCATCGCAAAGATTGAAATAGTCAAAGTTACAAAAAATGAAAACAGCTGGAATAACATACAATAAATGATACCGTGTACAAGATTGGCGCGATTAAGTAGATACATTGAATTGANGCCAAAAAACAGCCGAAAGTCGGCAAGTAACGGTCGCTAAAACTAGCGAAGTAATTATCGGAAATTAATAAATAAAATATCGATCGAATCGGGATAGGAAGGTGAACACAGCGGTGTAATACATAAAAGCGTACGACATGAATTTGTCAAAGAGAAAACCGTCCGAAGTTCGACCACGTGGTCTCGGCCAAATAAAGCCTGTAACACCCGAAGGTCTAAACCGATTATAAAAAGTAAGACGGCGTTGGAAAGCGCATGTCAACAGCAACAAAATGATATATAGTACACTCACCGATCGTAAAAAAGACCAAAGATAACGCAAGTTAAAAACGGCTAGCCTACAAACACCGCTGCGTAATGATACCTATAAACCCACTGACACCAAGGATATGCCACCTTTCGAATATGAAGAAATACATGAGGCATTTAACAACTTAAGAAATAATAAAGCTCCTGGCATTGATTCAATTACTTCAGAAATAGCTAAACATTTATGGGATCTGATCCCTCACCATCTCTTTAATATATATAATAATTGTCTCTCTCGTGGTATTTTTCTGGCACTTTGGAAAGTGGCTAAAATAATACCTATTCCTAAACTTGGATCTCCTGGAGATACACGACTGATCTCACTTTTACCTGTACTCGGGAAAATTCTCGAATGGCTTGTTAATAAAAGGCTTTTATGGTTTGTGGAATGCCACAATTACAAAAACAATGCTCAATATGGCTTCCGACCAATACGAATTGCAGAAGATGCTATAAATACAGCTGTAACTTCTATAAACCAACTATTGGATGAAAACAAGTATGTACAGTACTAGGGGTCAGCCTTGACATCTCCAAGGCATTTGATAGTGCCTGGTGGCCCCTAGTTACATTCCAATTACAAAAATTTTCATGTCCAAGGAATATATTATATCTGAACTATGATTATTTAAATGAGAGATCGGCTGTGTTAGAATGCGGACAACTCCATGTCAGTAAATCTATAACCAGAGGATGCCCACAGGGGTCTGTGTGTGGATCCCTGCTCTGGAATATAGCATTTAATGCTTTCTTTGATAACAGCTTTGGGCAGGATAAAACTATTGCATATGCACATGATCTTTTCATCCTTCTAGGAGGCCGTTCAAGAGCGGATCTTGAGCTTAAAGGTAATAATTTGCTAAATGCTGTTCAAACTTGGGGCCTTAATCATAACTTATGTTTTAATCCCCTGAAAACTAAAGGCATTGTTTTCAATAAGCCTAGAAACCCCAATTTATATCTCAGGGTACCACATATTAAAATGTCCAATAGATCTATTAAAATTGAAAAAACAATTAAATATCTGGGTGTCATCATAGATTACTGCCTGAGTTGGGATCCTCATATTGCATATATCACTAGCCATACTGGGGTTATTTTCCAGGGTTTCTCATAAGTGGCCAGAAATGTTTGTGGACTTTCCTTGCATGCAATGTCTGTTGTGTATGACGCAATCTTTATTCCTATTATTTCGTATGCATGTGGCACTTGGAGATGGACAATCAATAAAGTTCATACTAAACGTAAACTAATTTCTGCACAAAGGAACGGTTTACTTAATATCGCCAAAGCTTATTGCACCGCACCGACTGCTAGCATCCAAGTTCTCGCACAGAAACCCCCAATAGATCTTGTTATCTCATATACTCAGAAATTACATCTATTAAAATGGGGAGGAAACATTCAAACACGATGCCTGCTGATAGAAAATGATAATTACGAACAGCCTATCCCCTACTATCACACACAATATCCAATCTGTAGATCCAATTTAACTTTTACTAATGAACAAATAGTTGACATTGACATCTATATGGATGGATCTAAACTCCAACATAGGATTGGTTGCAGCTTCGTTACTTATTGCAACAGTAACAAAATATACCATCAGAAGTCTCGGCTTGGGAATCAATGTAGCGTTTTTCAAGCTGAGTTGATAGCTATTAAACTAGCTGTCACTTGGATTTGTAACAGCTATACCTACTGCTCTGTTCACATACATACCGACTCTATGTCTGCGCACAATGCTATTAAAAACATCAATACACATTTTGTTGTGATTGATATTAACAATCTTATTAGCTATTCAAATTGTCAATTTATTATTAGCTGGATCCATGCTCATCAAGGCAATCACGGAAATGAACGAGCAGATACCCTCGCTAAAATGGCTGCAGAGGATGACACAATCTCTATTACTTACAGCAAAATTAGCAAGAAAACCATCCGACAGGAACTTTGGAGAGACACCTTATACGAATGGCAAATCCAATGGAACAACATCAATAATAATCACACGGCAAAATTTATACCTAATCTGATTCATCTCACTACTCTACACTGGTTCTCTCCTAATTTCTACAGTTCACAGATACTTACCAATCATGATAAGTTTGCAAGTTATCTTTGCAGATTCACCAATCGAGTTTCTCCTTTATGTCCTACATGTCAAGTAGAAGACAATTCCTTTCATTACATTTACGACTGCGTCACTTTAGAAAACGAACGGTTGGAGCTAATACTACTCTTACAAGAACTGGATATCGACTGGCCATGTGCACCATCTGACTTTTTCAAAAGTGAGAGTGTGTATCGTGCCTTCGAAAGACTGTTCAAAAAATTTCACCACTTTTCACTCACTGCCATATGTAACTAATGGACTGTACTGTTGTGGTAGTTCTGTTGTTTAAGTTAATACATTAAGGTTTTAGTGTTAAATTAGATTTATTTTGATGTTAAGCACTTTTATTATCAATTCTCTGTTAATGTATAATGTTTTTCTGTCATATTACTTTAATACAAAATGGTATTTTTAATTTAAATATTAATTAGGATAATTTTACACTCGCTTTTACTTAGTTTAAATTTTAAAATTTTATGTAAAATTTATGAAATTCAATTATGTAAAACTAGTCTCTTCTAATTGTATTTGTAACCTTATAACCCTGGTAATTCAAAAGCGGGACCAGGATGTGCATGTTATTTTAATGTACGAATAAATACTAAATGAAAATGAAAAATGACAAACACTGAGATCATGCATATCTATTTACACTATATATTACATTGGTTACTATAATTTTGAACTTTTCAAACCTATTGGAAATTTAACTAGCGATGAATGATTATTATTACACAAACTGTAGAAAAATGCTTGAATGACAATGTAGACAAATATTAATGTTGATAGCAAGAGTAAATTTTATTTATCTTATTAACAAAAAAGTAAATTTGCTGAAAATCTTTTACCTGATGAATAATAACTAATAAATCGCAGATACCTTTCGTACTTATTCCAGCAGGTACATTTATTAGAAAAAGAAATGTTTTAGCCACTTTCAGGGATCTTTGTCAGGTTATCGTACTTTTTACAATCTAATGCAGTGTTTCCCAATGTGGGACAATTGGATTATTAAGGGGGCAATTTGAAAATGGACTCGTCCAGAGTTTAAGTTAACCATATAGCCGCTGTATATGTTAGGGGGGCACAAGAATTTTAGAAAGGCTTAAGTGGGGCATAGCACAAAAAATGTTGGGAAACACTGATCTAATGCATTTAATCAAATTCCAAATGGAACATTGGTACTATTTTAGGTGATGAATAAATTATGAATTTTTGTAATTTTTTATTGATTAGAATTTTATTATTCATAATTGAAATGAAAAGTATTGAAAGATAAAAATTTAGTTCAGGTTATTAGTGAATTATTGAATTAATCCCAATGAATTTAAGATGATGATAATAATTATTCATTTTGATTGCATTTTTCTATGAATTATTTGAAAAGAGAGAATTAATAGTTTCTTTTGAAATAAATGTTCAAAGATGGAATAAAAATTTTTTCACATTTCAATTTATGATAAAATGATGGAAGTAAGTTAATATATAATCTAATTGATTATAGATCTAATGTTTCATTTTAATTATTCTTAATTGCTTTCATTAAAATTCTTTAAAATTAGGTTTAGATACAAGAAGTGAAGCATGTCAAAGGTTTTTTAGAGAAGGATTAACAACATCTTTTACAAAAATTTTGACCGATGAAGCTGTTAGTGGTTGGAAATTTGAAATACATGTAAGTATTTTGTTTTTTATTAATTGAGTTCTTCAAATAATTTAGATTGTTTCTAGTTTTAGACCTCAGATATCATACTTATAGTTAATACATTTGTAGTCTAAATAAATTGATTAGAGTTGATATAACATTTAGTGAATTATCTGTGAGCTTATTCTTTAAGAAATGGAATTGATATCTTAAAGTATCTTGGTATAATTACTATCATAATTTTAATCTCCAATTGTAACAAAACTGCAAATAATTTTCTCAAAATATAATCATAACATGTACAATATAATAAGGAAATAACAAATTGTCATTTGTTACTCAATTTGCCAAATAGTTTGATACTTTTAACAGCATATGTAAATGTATAATGCTTAGAATTAAGCTTTATCAAGATAGTTGTTCAATAAATAATAATTATATATTTGAAGCTGAAAAGATGTAAACTATTGTTTTGATTTAAAAAAAAAATAAATAAAACTATCTAATTGAGAAAAGATAAGTTGAACATAACTGATTGAAAAGGTAATTTTGTTTTTTAAATGTTCAGAAAAAATAAAAATGCATAGTCAGTACTATTTTATTTTTAACTGTTCTGTTGATAAAATGATATGATTTGTTATATATTAGGCTATAGTTACAGTGACCATATTTTTTGGGGAAAAACAAAGGTCATATCGAAGAAAATCAAAAAATACCTTATAAAATTCATAAGTTTATAACATTTATTATGAAAATAGTAGCATACAACAATGCGTACATTAAAATTTTAAACAATCTGAATTATTACACATACACACATTGTAAAAATTTAAACAACATTAATTTTGATACTTTTCAGTAGAATTAATTTTTTTTATAGTGCCGTTTCACGCTTTAAAGTCATAAAATTCCATACAGTTCATTTGAAAGTTGTATTTGATGGAAATACATGCTTCTAAGGTGCTTACTTTTAAATGGGTTTTTTTCATTCATCCTCATATTATTCAGCAATGAAAATATTCATTCAACAGAGGCATTAGATCCAGGGAGACAAAGAAAATTCTACGATTTTACAAATGTTTTTGAAAACAATTTCTTTTGCTGTAAAATGTTCAAAAATCTCAATCCACCTTTGATGGCAGGGCTGGTTATTCTGTCGCCATTCGTCGATCTTTTCATTTGTGACATATTTTTTTACACATGAAACTTCATCAAATAATTCACCGTCGAGTATATTTACGGACCAATGATTCAAAATAAAGATATAGCTTTCCTCTACTTTCACCCACAAAGAGATTTCGCATAATGTGACCCATTCAAATACCTCTATTTCAATAAAAAACATGTCCCAATTATTTAGATAATCTATGCACGTTTGATAAAATGTGTACACAGCATCATTGAATTTTTTGGCTTGTATATGTTCTGATTTTTCTAATGCTAAAACCACTTTTCTAATAACAATAGGAAGAAACCCCTCATTTTTTCTTTCAACTAACTT